CTGAGTGCTCAGATTAAAGGCGTGTGCAACCATGTCCAGATACCTACACTTTCTTAATAGGAGCTCTTCTCTCTTGCCTCTCTGCAAGTAAACTCCAATCTTTTTTGTCAGGACTCACGTAAAGATAAGTCTTTTCTATATATGCACTTCATGTCTACAGCACAGAATCCTATACTCTTAATTTAATATGATATTAAATATTTCTACAAAACTAAAGTGCTTCATTATATTCTATATTTTGTGGGTGTCTAATTCGTTCATTACTGTAAATATTTTGTTCTTTCCTCAACAAAATCACAATCTCCTTGAGGGCAGAAATTCTTGTGACCAAACACTTGTGCCACTTCTATAATCACAGCACCGAGCCAGGTAGGTAATGAATTCTTTATAAAAGCACCTTAAACCCAAAGGTGCTGTGTCTTATAAAGAAGCCATCAAGCAAACTCCTTTACAAAACATCAATTTACAAATTACAGAGCAGTAGCAAAGGGAAACTGAAAACTATCCGCTATAGTTGATTGACATCTAAATAGGGTGAGTAACAAAATATTGTGCCTCATTTTATCTGCCCTCTAATTAACTTATAAACATCTATAATAAAAACCCATTGCAATATTTAGGTATGTCTTCAGATCGATGCAATCAAATTTATAAAGCATGTTTCTTTATATTTTTCTTTCCAAATTTCTTTTACAAAGAGTATGTGTTATTGCTTTTAGCAGTAAGAAAGCAACAAAACAGCAACTATGTTATTCTTCCAACAATCAGATTATCAGCTTTATTAAAGTGATATACATGTTAATCTCTGGATCAAAATCTCTAAAATCTGTTTTTCACCAGAATCCCAGGATTCTAGATTCAAATAGCCTGGATTTAAATTTCAAATCCATTAATTATTGCTTACAGACCTATTCTCATTACCCAGTTACTAAATCCCTAAATTTTTTCATCTGGAAAATTTGAAAATAATAGACGCTACCATGAAAAGTAATACCCGGGAGCTTCCTTCCCCTCTCTCTTCCACTCACATTGGTCTCTTTACCATTCTTCAAATAAATCGTAAATCCCAAAGTTCCAAGGCTAGGTGCTTTGTTCCTTCTGACAATAAGCTGTCTCTCATGATTTCCACTGGGCTCATGCTTCATTCCCTTGAGTTCTTAAATCAAAACACTTCTGAACGAAGCCTTCTATGTTAAAAAGAATAATTAAATGGATAAGAATATGCAAAACTCTGAGAAGAGTAACATATTTCATAAACACAAATACAGTTGTCATTTTGTTGTTGTTAATATGTTTTGGACAGAACAGGAAAGATAACTTAATTCTAGATATGTCTACAATGCTCTTTCTAAAATATCACTGCAAGTTCTCATGAAAATGGGATATGCAGACATAGAAGGCTTGCTGTATGATATCAATCATACTCTATAATTTTCATGCAATTTAATACCAAGGACTAGAAAAATCTCTGCAAAGTCTATACAAGTAGTTTTAATTGCCTAATTTAGAGATCTTAAAACAACTCATGGAGAGGCTGGAGAGATGGCTCAGCAGTTAAGAACACGGGCTTTTCTTGCAGAAGACACAGGTCCAAATCCCAGCACCCACATGGCAGCTAACAACTATCTGTAACTCCAGTTCTAGGACATCCGACAGCCTCTTCTGACCTCCTCAGGCATTGCACAACACGGGTGCACTTACCTACATGCAGGCAATACACGCATATACATAAAACAAAAAAATAAAAATTATAAAACAACTTGTGGAATGTATGCTGGTTGCTTATGGAGACTTAATCATGATAAGATATAAATATATAAATAACTTTATATCTTTGTATAAGAAGGAGAATAATTGTTATCCTAGCAGCAAGCATCACAATTCTAATTAGAGAGCTCTTCCGATAAACTACTTGTGCTAAAACTTCAGTTCTTTAGAGATAAGCTAACAGGAGATGAGGTCATAATAAAGAAAGCTAAACTGCTCATTGTGAGAGATGAAAAGAACCAAAGAGAAAAGCAAAGAGATAGTATATTGAAGAGTCTATGTCAGAACAGCAAAATGACATTAAGAAATGAAAGAGCCAAGTGTGGTGTGATAGCTTCTGCCTGTAAGCCTAACACTCGTTACACTGAGGAAGAAAATTGTTGTGAGTTCGAGGACAGCCTGTGCTAGATAGTGAGTTCTAGGCCGGCTTAGGCTACAGAGTAAGACCTAAGAAAGGAAGAAAGGGAGAGAGGGAGAGAGGGAAGGAGGGAGGGATAGAGGGACAGAGGGAGAGAGGGAGGGCGGGCTTACCATGGCCTGCTGTCGCTGCATAATCGACCACTTCAATCATACCCAGACCCAAGTGCATACCACTTGCTCCTTATTCTCTTCTGTTCACATTTACTTGCTTGCCATTTTTTAAATAACCCATAAAACTCAGTTCAAAGTCTAGGCACTTTGTTCCCTCTGACAATAATCCAGTCTGGCCCACTGGCCTCACTTCATTTTCTTGAGTTCTCAGATCAAAACACTTCTGTATAAAGCCTTCCATATTAAAAAGATTAATTACAGCCAGTTATGGTGGCACACACCTTTATTCCCAGCACTTGGGAGGCAGAGGCAGGTGGATCTCTGTGAGTTCAAGGCCAGCCTGGTCTACACAGTGAGTTCCAGGTCAGTAGCCTGTCTCCAAAAGACCAAAAAAAAAAAAAAACAATTACTTAATTTTTAAAAAATCTAAGCCTCTCTTCTATGCCACATCTGCTGCCATCTACCCTCTGTTCTAGACATTTATTTATTAATATTTGCTTATTGATTGATTGAAACAGTGTCTCACAGTGTAGTACAGGCTAGCCTCAAACTTGTGATCCTCCTACGTCAGCTTCTTGAGTACTGGAACTCTAGGTAAGTGCCTCCACACCTAGCTGTCTCCAGCTATTAAGCTGTACTTGTTACTAATTGGCTTACTGTCTGTCTTTATCTGATAGAATGTAAGCCCCAGGAGAGAACATATTTTTACCTGTATTGTTCACTACGGTTTTTGCATCGTGTGGAAAAATGACCATAGCAGGCCCTCAATGATATTTATAGAATAGATGAAAGAGGCAAGAAAGATAGAATAAGTCTTAGAAACACATCTGAAGGGTCAAGGCAGCCTCGGTTACAATCTAGCACACATTCATAGATATCACAAAAACTACATTCATTCCCATAAAATTTACTCAAAATATGTCATAACATGATGGAAAGTGAGGATTTGTCAAAATGCTTCTGTGACCAGAGAGTTCTATTAGAGGAATAGTTAGAAAACATACTTACAAATCAATTAGCATATATGTCTATAGATATGTGTAATAACTAGACCTTTACAAGAAATTTTAAAAGCACCATGAGCTGTGCTAACTCCACCAGATATATAGAAAGGAGTGTGCTGGGACAAGTCAAATAATTCAATTATATACACCATGAGGTAGCTTAACAGGAACCAGTAACGGTGAACAAAGCTCTTTTCTGCAGATGAAAGCCTGCATGGTTCAATTGTGAGGGAAACAGAGGAGCAGAAACGAATCTTGGGCCAAGCTGACAGTTACATGGAACCCCCTGAAGTTAGAAATTGAGTTCTGCTAATTACTGGTCTGAAGGGGACAGAGAAAGAGCTGTCTGATTTCTCTTGCTGAATTTGCAACATGAGCACTTGTGAGTTTTGCATTAGGGTCCAGCTGGGAAGTTCCCAGATACCACCTCTATGCAAAGGAGGTCAGGTGTTCCTTTCTGCCTTGGGTGACTACCAGGGAGATTTCAGTGCAACTGATTTTAATAGGGAAGTAGATACAGAAAAAGAGAGAGAAAGGGAAAAAGCAGCAAAAGCACCAATCCTGTTTGAAATAAAATTTTGTCTATAGATTATAAGATCGAATATTTCCCAAAGACCTCAGAATTTTGCAATACAATTTATTAAAATGGAATGCCATACCTACAGATAACAATGTCAACTAGTCTATCTACTTTCTGAACTACTCGTTGTAAGACCAATAAAGCTACACAGCAGGCAGGTACTTTAATGAAATAGGCACAGTTCTCCAGAGAGGTGAACCTGTGGTTCAAACCCACACTTTTGATCAAGTAAACACTTTATTCTTCCCAATGAGAATACCTCTTATGTGGATTCTGATGGAAAATGCTCTCGGGAAGAAAAATGTAGAGAGATATGAGTGGGGAACAAAGGATGGTTGTAATGCCATGCCCAAAAACAGGCTTCTGAAAAGGAAAAGTAACTTCAACATTTTGAGTGCAGACATGTACCCTTTCTAATATCTTGGAACATTCTAGTGCACTTCCTGCCAAAAGCACAGCCTCAGTAAAATTAGAATGATAAATTAATGCATTTATTCATATGACCAATAATTACTGAACACACTCCCTCTGTAAAAGGAATAGGTGTGAGAACATTCCCAGAGACACAGTCTCCATTTTTTCAAGTTTCTCTTCTGTCTCTTTTATTAACTGTGTACTAGAAAAAAAAATCAAAAGACATACAAAAGAGAGCTAATTCATTAAGATCTGGCTTCTGAGTATCCAGAGAGAAAAATACCGTCATTGTCAGCTCTGTGTGCAATATTGCACAGCTCTGGAAATTATAAAGACCTGGTCTACTCCGTAATGTGGAGTGATACAGTTCTTACTATATCTACTCTCTTGGTTGTTGTGGTAATTAAAGGTGATTTTGGCCATGATCCCTCCATAGGATGTATTTAGCAATTTATAGCTATTTGGGTTTTTTTTGGAATTCTAAACTTACATAATGCCTTTCTTAATTCCCATGAACACTTACTGGGAAGACTCCAGAAACACTAATCTTATTTTACCTCTTATGAAGAAATTACTTTTGTCCTCATCATCTCTAAAAATATAAACCTTAGAATTTTTATGTTGCTATGTGCCTCAAATAATGCATGAAGAAGGAGCTCCACTTTCCAGGAGCCCTTCCAGTAAAATAACCAAGAAATTCTTACCTAGTTTTGGCAAAGAATAGGGCACTTTAAAGTAGTCTTCATAAAACTCTATTAATCTCTTTGTAATGTGGAGAGCATAGTCCCCCGATCCTCTTCTGATGGCATCAGGTCTTGCATACAATCGAACCTAATTAAAAACATATATAAAGGAACTTTAGCCTTTGGATTAAAATTTTATTTTCTTTGCAAATATGAATCTACACAAATCACTTTGGCTGCTATAAAAATTAAACAGCGTTCTTGTTCATGTATAAAAACACACTGTGGCTGAAAGAAACATATTTAAAGAATTGAAATAGCCAAGTTGAGCAAATTACAATTTCCTCCCTTCCCAAGATGACATAGAGAAGATTTATATACCTTTTGTCAAAATAAACATCCGAAGTTATCGCTTGCATGTGCTTGCTAGAGATAGGACGGTATGGTGGATTAGTATAATGGGTCCCTGGCCATGCTGAAAGTAGGCAGGGTATGGTGATTCAACAAGAGAGGAAATTCATGGTTTGTTAAAGACAAGTTGCATCAAGCTTTGGAGGTACTACCAGATTTGGAAATTATATATATATAATGCTTCCTTTTTTCTCTTTTTTTTTTCCTTTCAGAATCAACTATCCTTATTCCAAATACACAAAGCAGGAATGGAAAACCATTTGTGTACATAAACAGTCACCATTCTGGAAGGCTGTCTGCAACTGCCCCTAGCTTCAAAACCAGCAGATGTAGTTCATATTTCTAACACAATCTGTATATTTAATATTTATTCTTAAAGCAAGCATCATAAATTATCTAGTCCTTGGAAAAAATAGAAAGCCTAAAGTGAGAAATGTAAAACTGAACAAAACCAACAATTGCACAGAAAAGGTTAAAATGAGATTAGTTTTCATAAAGCTTTCATAAAGCCATCCAGCATCTTTCCTTCCAAAGGCTAAATCTATTTTTCACAGATGTGGTCCCTAATCCTCATATCAATTCCGTGACTAGGAAATATGCATTTCATGCAGCAGGAGAGAGCACAGAAGCATGGGAGCGGATTTTAGTTCTATTCTGCCACTAACCAAACTGGGGGATACTGAACAAATTACTTAACCTCTTTGGGTCTTATTTATAAAGTGAAGGAGTTGGCCACCAGCTAGTTGCTAAAGTGTTTTTCAGTTCTAAAACACATTACTTGCAATACCACTTTACAAATAAGGGAGCCTCTGTCCCTTTCAAATCACTACAAAAAATAAGTGGTTCACTAGGTATATGGAAAAGGATATTTATATTCAAGGAGAAAACAAAGAAAACTGTATTAAATCATAATATAAAAACTGATTATACAATTAACTCTATAATCCATGCCTAAGAAGTAATAAAAGAGATGTATAGTCATAAAATACAGGGTTGGGGCTGGAGAGATGGCTCAGTGGTTAAGAGCACTGGCTGCTCTTGTAGAGGAACCAGGGATTCCCAGTACTCACGTGGCAGCTAATTACTCTCCTTAACTCCAGTTACAAGGGATTCAATGCCCTCTTCTAATCTCTGCAGGCATTTCAGGACACAAGTGCACTTACATACATGCAGGGAATATACTCATACAAGTACAAATAAAAATGATAAAACATTTTTTGTATAAAAGAAAATACAGGGTTGATAGTGAAGGAAAATATATTCTAACTTTATGTTAGAAAGACGTAATTCAGTAAGGTATGTACTAAATTCAAGAACAATTATTTACTTACATTATAAAGCTATTTACTCCCCATCAGCTAAATCAAATGTCAAATTTAGTTGATAGTCACCAACAGTCTTGGCTGGCAGTGGTATGAAACCGAGAACTATTAGGACAAACCTTCTACAGCAGCAGAACTCCAAGAAAGGATGAATAGATGAGTGATTTAGAAATAAAGGCTGTTTGGGAGACTTATTGGGGCATGCAGGAAGCAGGATAAAGGGATAATAAGCAAGCAAACAAACAGGAAGCACACCAAATAGTAAGAGGACGGAGCCTGTGCACTGGCAGCATCCACAAGACAGTAATAGTTCACTTAATTCAGTCACAAGAATCTTCATTTGGTATTTGCTTCGTACCAGATATGGGAATAAACATTTCTCATTTCATACTCAGAAACACATACTCTCTATATAACCAAATGAGCCACAAACCATATGACAAAAGGCAATGAATGTGTAATGACCATCCTCAAAGATCTCAGTTATTAAGTAAAGTTAATGCCAACTGGTGACAGATATCATACACAGCAAACAACAAATGGCACAAACACCTAGGAAAAATGAAGTTTTCAGAAAGTCCTAGGTAAAGTAATTGGTAAACTGATAGTACATCTATAAGCAAGATGACTTTACTTTTTGGAGGCATCATTGATTTGGGTAGAAGCTCAGTCACGCTTGTCCATCAACTCTACCAGTTAGTCAAGCATTCTGTAGATCCAGGCATGAGAAACACAATTAAATCAATCTGGCTGTCAAGATTTGATGAAAATAAACCAATATGAGTGAGAAGACAAATAAGACACATGCTTAGCACAATGACTTCATTTTCTCACTCAAACATTTATTGCACGCCTGCTGTGTGCCAGGCATTGTACTAGGGAATAGGAATAGAACAATCAAACCCCTACTACAAAATGAACAAGACATTTATACTTACTGCTCCTAAGAGGTTCACAGTGTGTGGAAAACAAACAAATAAATCACCAACAAAAATACAATCCAAGAAATATAATAGTACACTCTGCCTTCCCACTGATTGTAACAGACATACAAAGTTAAGTCCTTTACATTCTATCTTTTCAAAGCCATCATTCCCAAAATTTTTCCCTTTATTTCCATATCACCAATTTATACTTCTGTACTGCAAACAAATGCTCTGTACCTTTCCTATGCTCTTTGTTGCTGTTGCTGTTGGTTGGGTTTGCTTTGTTTTGTTTTCTCAGACAAGGATTCACTATGTAGCAAAGTCTGTTCCCAATTCATGATCTTCCTGCTTAAGTCTTCCAAGTGCTGGGACTATAGGAGTGTACCACCACACCCATCTTCCTAGTTTTGGGGGGTTCATCGCACATAGATGCTCCAGCTATGGTTTCCAGAATTCTCATCAAAAGAGCAAGCAAAACAGCATCCAAGTCACAACACTTTAAAGAATGGAGGGGACACCAACAACCTGAGAGACAGTAGGTGTAAGTAAATAAGCTATTTTTTATTTGTACTCTATTTCTAGTCTCTCTTAAACTCCCCACTGCAAAACTTTCATCTCCACTGCTCTACTAGAACTGACTTCACAAGCATCAGTAATGACCACACAATGGCAAACCCAACAGCTGATCTGATACTCAACTTGTTAAACCTGTCAGCAGCATTGCACAATCATTGAATGTCCTTGAGACAATTTCTTTCTGTGGGTCAGTCACTCCTCAGTGTTGGAGGACTCCAGGGTTCAACCTGTAGACCTCTTGGCAGTCCCTAGCCTAATGGCTATAAGAATGACTTCAAAACCAATGATTTACCATATAATTCTGGGCTTCCAGACTCATTCACCCAACTCTGCCTGACATCTTCACTTGGAATCTCAAACATTCTAAAGCAAATTCCTGGTAACTCACATACAGCTGCTTCTCCTAAAAACTTCTGCAGCTCAGTTAATAGCAATGAATTCCTCTCATTCGACCTCTGTGCCCAAAATCTCTGCATCATCCTTCTTTTCCCTCACACTCCAGAAAATGCTACTGGTTCCACCTTAGAAAGACATCCAGATGAACTTGCTCTGAGGAACGTGTGGGGGACACTAAGTTGATACAATAGGCCTTAATACAACTGACAGAATGTATGAATTCCAATGTATGGCTATGGGAGGGTGCCAGTGGGGACAGAGGTATAAAGATGATTAAGATTGAGAAGTTCTGTATGGAATATGTAAAAATTCAATAAAAACATTTTTTTAAAAAAGACATCCAGAACCCAACACTTCTCACAACCCAGGTATATTATCCTTTCCCAGCTGCCCCTTAATGCCCTAGAAACAATTTCTTCTTCTTTGAGCCTAAATGATTGCTCTGTTTTGCTACTGGTGATTCATCCTTTATTCTCGTCACTAACCCAAATTAAATGAGAATCAAATCAAGTCATTTCTCTGCTTTTCCTCTTCTATATCTCCCCATCTCATTTGGAATAAAATCCCAAGATTTTTAAAAGAACCAAAAACCTATGCACAAGTCTAACCCTGTTGGCTCGCTGGCTTTCTCCGACTGCTCTTCCATACTAGCTGACCTTCAGCTATGCACTGCTTCCCTGCCGTTCCTCAGCCATAGTAGACTGTCAGGCTTTTCTCCAGGCTGCCTCCATGACTCAGCTCTTCACCATCTTCAAATACTTTTCCAAGTACTTCACTTTCTGAGAAGCCTTCCCGCTGCCCTGGTACTGCTTAGTTCTTTCCTTGCTTTATTGTTCCTGAAACACTATTTAACAAAGCGTATGTTTGCTTATTCATTTTGTTTCTCGCTGCTTTTCTCATGAATATAACTTGAATAGAGGCAAGGAACGGAATCTGTTAGATCTAGTGATGTGAAAGTGCCGTTTTATTGGTCAAAGCATTGTGTATAAAGTACCAGGTACGTAAGGCACATAACAAATTAACTTCAAATGTGTATACAGATCCTAAGAGAGGATATAAGAAAGACCTATATCACAGGAGCAAATGCCTTAAATGAATTTTAAAAGATAAAGCTGGATGTAGAAATTTACACAAAAGTATCACATTTATTTATTTTTCTATTTATTTACTTATTTACTGGGGGGGGGATGCTTGTGTTACGGTGTGTGTGTGTGTGTGTGTGTGTGTGTGTGTGTGTGTGTGCCTAAGAACTTGCAGGAGTTAGTTCTTTCTTACCACATGTGGGTCTTGGGAATCAAACTCAGGGCATCAGGCTTGGGGACAAGTTCCAATACTCACTGAGCCATCTCACCTGCTCAGGAGACCAAAGCATCAAAAAGACAACAGCAGTGACCAAATAACAAGAGACCTCAAAGGCATTATTAAATATTGGTGTTTTATTATAATGGGTGTGGTAATTTACAGGAGGCTATTAAACAAAGAAGTGATACATTTATTCTACATTTCAGAAAGATCAC